CAGCGGCGACTTTGTGGAGCTGCCCCTCGACTCAGCCATAGACCCCAAAGTGTTTAACGCCTTGCCGCTAACCCTTCAGTACCAGGTCCTTCCTAGGGTTTAGGGTTTAGGGTTTAGGGTTTAGGGTTTAGGGTTTAGGGTTTAGGGTTTAGGCGTCAACTAGAGTTTTTTCACATCCACCTGCTCGTTTTTTCTCGTTTTTTCTCCACCACCGAGCTGCTGCACTTAGCCAACAAACAAACCATTTATTTATTTATTTATTTATTTATTTATTTATTTATTTATTTATTTATTTGTTTATTTATTTATTTAGGTGCTGCTGCAAATCCGAGACGCCTGGATCGAAGCCTCGAGGCGGCGGGCGCTCAGCTGCAGCAGCGACACTTCGGTGTTTTCGAATGTGCAGCTGGAGGGTTACATTCGGGCAATTCAAACAAATCGAGTAATTTATTAATTATTTTTTATTTAATTTTTAATTAATTATTTATTTAATTCCTTTTGCAGCAGCAGCAGCAGCAGCAGCTGCAGCGGCTGCTGCTGCTGCTGCTGCTGCTGAAAGAACCAGCGCGCTGCTGCTGATACTCGCGGAGTTGCTGCTGCTGCTGCACTTGCTGCTGCTGCTGCACTTGCTGCTGCTGCTGCACTTGCTGCTGCTGCTGCACTTGCTGCTGCTGCTGGTGTAGGAAATTAACAGCGTCAAGACCAAAATGGCGGAGCAGCAGCAAGAGATGAGGCAGCAGCAGCAGCTCGAAGAGGAGCAGCAGCAGCAGCAGCAGCAGCCACCGCCCTTGCTGCTGCAGCTGGGAGTGGATATGCCCCAGGAACAGCAGCAGCAGCAGCAGCAGCAGCAGCAAACAGCGGCGATGCAAAAAACGGAGATGTGTAAACTCTGACCCTAAACCCTCACTGCCAAACCCTAAACCCTAAACCCTACGCCTCAAACCCTAGACTGTGCACCATGCCAGCTTATGAGAGCAAGAGTATTATATCTCATTTGAAATTTAGGGTTTAGGGTTTAGGGTTTAGGGTTTAAGGTTGAGGGTTTAGGGTTTCTGTTGCGTCTGCAGCGCCGTCGCAGAGACTGCAGAGCCTGGCGGACATTCCCACTGGCAGCAGCAGCAGCAGCAGCAGCAGCTTCACCAGCAGCAGCTTCAGCAGCAGCAGCTTCAGCAGCAGCAGCTTCAGCAGCAGCAGCAGCAGCAGCAGCAGCAGCGCTTCGTGGATGGAGTTGTGCGGGCTAGTCCCAAAGTCTGGGCGCCGCAAATTCGTGAACGATTTGCTGCTGCTGCAGCAGCAGCAGCAAGAGGAGCAGCAGCAGCAGCGGCTGCGTGGGACATCAGAACTTGACTTGAAATTGCTGCGGCCCTCAGAGCTCTTCAGCGGTGCTGCTGCTGCTGCTCTTGCTGCTGAGAACAAGCGAAGGGAGATGCAGGAGCTCTTTGGCAGCAGCAGCAGCAGCAGCAGCAGCAGGATGCAGCAGCAGCAGCAGCAAGAGTTTCTGGATGATGAGTTCTACGTCAAGAAGGACGGCAAAAGTGAGACAGAGATGGAGCTCTAAGCGTGCTGCTGCTGCTGCTGCTGCTGCTGGATCTGCTGCTGCAGCTCCGTCTGCTGCTGCATGTGCTGCTGCTGCTGCTGCTGCTGCTGCTGTGCTTCCTGCTGCTGCTGCTCAGAGAAGCACTTGGCGCTGCTGTCAGACGAAGAGATTTTCGGTGAGGAATTTCTAGCTGGGGAGACGGCTGCTGCTGCTGCTGAGCCAGCAGCAGCAGCAACAGCAGCAGCAGCAGATGCAGCAGCAAATGCTGCGGCGGATAATAGCGACACTGAGTTTGAAGACTGCGAAATTGATGAGCCGATTTTGCCGCTGGAACTGCAGCAGCAGCAGCAGCAGCAAGAGCTGCAGCAGCAGACGCAGCAACAGCAACAGCTAGAAAAGCAGCATCAGCAGCAGGAGCAGCTGCTGCAGCAGCAACAGCAGCCACTGTCGCAGCCGCCGCAGCAGCAGCAGCAGCAAGAGCAGCAGCAGCAGCAACAACAACGCAGGGAGCCACAGCAGCAGCAGCAGCACAAGGAGACGCAGCAGCCGCAGCAGCAGCAACCACAACAGCAGCAGCATCAACAGGCGCAACGGCAGCAGCAACACGAATTACAGCAGGAGCTGCAGCAATCACAGCAGCAGCAGCAACAGCAGCAACCACAATCGCAACAGCAGCAACAAGAACAATTAGAGAAGCAGCAGCAACAGCAGTTACAACCGCAGCAACAAACGCAGCAGCAGCAGCAGCAGCAGCAGCAGCAGCGCCTCAGCTCTCAAATAGTACGCAGCAAATTGAACCTTGCTGGCCTCGGAAGTTCACTCGATCCCAAGGCGATCCCAGCTGCTTCGCCCCACACCCTCCCTACAGCAGCAGCAGCAGCAGCAGCAGCAGCAGCAGCAGCAGCAGCAGCAGCAAAAGTGGAAGCGGCTTCACTATCACGCCGTCGCCAAAGACAAAGCACAGCAGCAGCGACAGCAGCAGCGCCAGCAGCAGCAGCACCAACAACAACCACAGCAGCAGCAACAGCAACAGCCAGAGCAGCGGCCGCAGCAGCAGCAGCAGCAGCAACCGAAGCAGCAGCAGCAGCAACGCCACCAGCACCACGATCACCAGACGTAGGTCCATCAGCAGCGCCAGCAGCACCGGCAGCAGCGACTGCAGCAGCAGCAGCAACTGCAGCAGCACCAGCAGCAGCACCAGCACCAGCAGCAGCAAGAGCAGCAGCACCAGCAGCAGCACCAGCAGCAGCGACTGCAGCAGCACCAGCAGCAGCGCCAGCAGCAACACCAGCAGCACCTCCAGCAGCAGCAGCAACGGCAGCTTTCGTCCGGATAAAGAGCAATCCTTTCTCGCCAAAGAGCACCAGGAAGCAGCAGCAGCAGCAGCAGCAACAGCAGCAACAGCAGCAGCAGCAGCACACAGCGGAGTTGCCCGAAACAGTGAAGAGGGATGCAGAGCAGCAGCAGCAGCAGCGGCAGCACCATGCTACTGCTGCTGCTGCTGCTGCTATAGAGCCTGCTGCATCTCCCGTGAGGGAGTCTGAGTCCGCTCGGGCTCCTGCTGCGGCTGAGCAGCAGCAGCAGCAGCAGCAGCAGCAGCAGCAGCAGCAGCAGCTGCAGCCGCAGGAGCAAGATGAAGACGACTTCATGGGTTTGTGGCTGAACGTTTTTCCTTTTTTGCGGCAGCACGTAGAGCAGCAGCAGAAGCAGCAGCAGCAGCGCAAGCGGCACCAACGACAGGAAGCTGCTGCTGCTGCTGGCCCTGCAGCAGCAGCAGCAGATGCAGCAGATGAAGACCCCGAAGCAGCAGCAGAAAGGGCGGAGATTGAGGCGCTGCTGGATCTGCAGCAGGCTGCCCAGGAAGCAGCAGCAGCAGCAGATGAAGCAGCAGCAGAAGCAGCAGCAGCAGAAGAAGCAGCAGCTGCAGCAGAAGCAGCACCGCAACAACAGCTGACACACTGGACTGCAACAGCAGCAGGAGCTGCTGCTGCAGCACCAGCAGCAGCAGGAGTCTACAGCTCCCGGCGGCCACCTCCAGCAGCAGGCATCACGCGCAGCTACCCGCCGCAGCAGCAGCAGCAGCAACAGCAGCAGCAGCAGCAGCAGCAGCAGCAGCAGCAGCAGCAGAGTTTGACTGAGATTCTAGAGGAAGAGAGACAGGCACTGATGCAGCAGCTAGGCCGCCTACAGGCCCGCGGCGAAATAGCTGACGATGAGACCAAGGCGCAGGTTTGCTGCTGCTGCTGCTGCTGCTGCTGCTGCTGCTGCTGCTGTTTGCTGCTGCGGTGCATGGCGTCTGTGGCGTCTGTTCGCCTGCTGCTTCGCTGCTGCTGCTGCTGCTGCTGCGGCAGCCCTCAGTGTCTTCGTCTTCATTTCTTTTCCGCCCACTCGCCGTCGCCACTTCTGCTGCTGCTGCTGCTGCGCTGCTGCTGCTGCTGCTGCTGCTGCTGCTGCTGCTGCAGCTAGTGGCCCTGCTGGAGGCCTTTGGAGTGCCCTACGTGGTGGCTCCCGCAGAGGCGGAGGCGACGGCCTCGCGGCTGTGCTCTGAGGGTTACGTCGACGCAGGTCCAAACCCTAAACCCTAAACCCTAAACCCTAAACCCTAAACCCTCGCTGGCAGTGGCCTGCCCGCAAGACAGCGTGGTGCCCTCCTGCAGCAGCGCAGCAGCAGAAGAGCAGCAACACTTTGGCTGTAGACTTCAAGTTCTAGGGTTTAGTGTTAAGGCTTTAGCGTTAAGGATTTAGGGTTTAGGGTTTAGGGTTTAGGGTTTAGGGTTTAGGGTTAAACGCCAAATGCTTAGGGTTAAGGGCCTAGGGCTTAGGGTTAACAGTTCAGACTTAAATGTGTAGGCTTTAGAGTCAAGGGTTGAGGTTGGTTAAGGACCTAAGGTTAAGGGTTTAGGGTTTAGGGTTTAGGGTTTAGGGTTTAGGGTTTAGGGTTTGCGCGCAGTGGTGAGCGACGACAGCGACTGCGTGGTGTTTGGGGCGAAGCAAATTTACAGATTTTTTTTTCAGTCTTCGAAAACAATTGAAGTTTATGAGCAGCAGCAAATTGAAAACCAACTTCGCTTTTCTCCGGAGAAACTCGTGGCTCTCGCGCTGCTGCTCGGTCTGCTGCTGCTGCTGCTGCTGCTGCTGCTGCTGCTGCTGCTGCTGCTGCTGCTGTGGTGGTGGTGGTGGTGCTGCTGCTGCTGCTGTGGTGGTGGTGGCGGTCGGGGTGCTGCTGCTGTGGTGGTGGTGGTGGTGGTGGTGGTGGTGCTGCTGCTGCTGCTGCAGCAGCTGCTGCTGCTGCAGCTGCTGCTGCTGCTGCTGCTGTGCTGGTGGTGGTGGTGGTGGTGGTGGTGCTGCTGCTGCTGTGGTGCTGCGCTGCTGCTGCTGCTCTGGTGGTGGTGCTGCTGCTGCTACTGCTGCTGCTGTGGGTCTGCTGGTGCCACTGCTGCAACCACTGCAGCCCTCCTATTTT